AAAATATAAGTAATTCTGTTCACTTTTATGGTTAAATTGCTGCATTATTCTTCTTGTTTTACTATATTGTTGATGTGAACATACACTCGTGACACATACATAGCCCATAGCAAGCAATTAATGTCAGGTACATGATATCAAATCGTCCAGAGTTTTGGATTTTAACTAGTTGAGAAACAACGCTTATCAGGGTAAGAATTTGACGATACGTTTAGTCCCGTTAGTTCTTACTTTTAATGTCAAAAAATGGCAACAAAATTTTTACAAATTTTACCATAGAAAATTCGTGACGTAGCCAATTTAAAGCTTCGGACCAGTGAGACGAAATGACGCGCAGTGTAGCGTTTATTGGCACGGCGCGGGCGAGTATCGCGCATACGCGTGTCAACAGCAATCGTGTAAAAACTAGCGGCGTCTGCCTGCCGGTAACATCCCAGTTGGCCTACTCCCATTTCGCCTACTTCCATTTCGGCCCTACTTTCCATTTCGCCTACTCCCATTTCGCCTAATCTCAGAATGGGCAATATTCCCATTTCGTCTACTCTCAGAATGGGTAATAGTGCCTATAGAGTATTGATATTACAACAAAATACCAGAAAAAAATTGGTGTGGATCCACTCCGTCTAGTCTTATGTACTAATCAAAACCATATATTACATATATAAATGACTATTTAGTGGACAAACTGATGGTAGACCAAAATGGGAATGGGTGGATTTTTAGTGTAGACAGTTGGGAGTAGGCGAAGTGGGTATAGACCAACTGGAGTTTTGCTATATAGACCGAAATGAAACCGCGCACAGCCGCCCACCCCGTGGTGCCGGAATCTGCGGCCTCCCTCGGCCAAGCAGTGGCAGATTTTGATACGCACTTACCGTATATCACTGAGCGCTGGTACTCCAACCCATGACGTCGTTTAAATATGTACAAAAACGATGCAAGCACGATCTCGATGCGTTCGCCTTCTTCGCTCGGACATACAGCTTCACACGTCGTGGGAGGATGGCTGAGGCATCAACACGCTGCAGTCACTTCTCTCTGCTGCTTGGATACTGCTGCGCCGATACTGCAAACCCTAACCCTAATCCAAAACCTAACACTAACACTGCTGTGCCGATACTGCAAACCCTAACCTTAATCCAAAACCTAACTCTAACACTGCTGCGCCGATACTGCAAACCCTAACCCTAATCCAAAACCTAACACTAACACTGCTGTGCCGATACTGCAAACCCTAACCCTAATCCAAACCCTAACTATAGCACGGTTGTACCGATACTGCTAACCCTAACTCTAATCCAAACCCTAACTCTAACACTGCTGTCGAACTCGTCCTTACGAAGCGGACAGTGCACGAGTGCTCTCCGCCACCGTACTATACGTCCGTCGCTGACCGACTGTCGTCTGCTACTGCTCACCTGTCGGATGCTGGCAGTCGCTAATGATATCAGCGCACGCATGCACACGGCTGCGTCTCGATCATTCTCCTGGCACTCTCGATCATTCTCGTGGCTGCGTCGCATGGAT